GGGGTCTGGGGTCCCCTGAGATGGTGATCATTGGCCGCTCCATCACGGGGCTCCACTCAGGTAGGTGCTGTGGGGCTGTGTGGGGCCCCTTCCTCGCAGCACCGACCCTTACAGTCCATCTCCAGGGGACTGAAGAAGACTCCGTATAACCCCCTGCCCACAAGTTCTATGGTGGGGTTCTCCATGGGTCAGACAGGGCCACCTCCTTGGCCATGGGTTGCCCACTGTGGATGGTGCTGGACATAGGAGAAGGTGCACCGTGATGCCTTCTACCCCCCTCAGGTATCTGTCTCAGTGTGGTGCCCCTCTACCTGGGAGAAATTGCCCCCAAGAACCTGCGAGGGTTCCTGGGCCTCATGCCCAGCATCTTCATCTGCCTGGGGGTTTTCTTCGCGCAGGTCCTTGGGCTCCCAGAGCTGCTGGGCAAGGTGAGCACTATACCCCAGCCCACGGGCACTGGACCATGCTCTGCCCTCCCTCTGACATGTCCTATTTTGACTCCCCTCAGGACAAGTTCTGGCCCCTTTTCCTGTCAATGGTGGCCATTCCTGCCTCCCTCCAGCTCCTGCTGCTGCACTGCTTCCCTGAGAGCCCGCGCTACCTGCTGATAGAGAAGAATGACATCTGTGGGGCCACCAAGGGTGAGGGGATGTCCTGGGGAAGACTGGCTCCAGGAGGTGATGGTCTGAGGTCTTCCAAGACCAAGATGCATCCTCACAGCATCCTCCTGCATCCAGACCTGATAGCCCACCATAGTCCTTATGGTTCAGCCCCTCTGTCACACCCAGTTGTGCTGTAGCATTTTTGGTGCCCATCATAATGGTGAGAGGCATCTCCTTGATTCCTGTGGATGCTCAGCCCTTTGGGTCAGGAAGGTCTTCTGGGAAGGATGAGCCAGGGCAAACCCAAGCTCTTGCCTCTACCATACCTGTGAGCATCCACCCTGTGGTGAGCAAATGCATCTCCATGACTCCAGCTCTCCCTGCAGCGCTGCGCCGGTTCCTGGGGACGCCTGACGTGCAGGGTGTGATTGAGGAGATGAAGGAGGAGCAGCAGTCACTCTCCTCTGTGGAGATGGTTTCTGTCTGGCAGCTGCTGCGGGACCGCTCTGTCTGCTGGCAAACCCTCTCGGTGGCAGTGGTGAACGCTGGCATGCAGCTCTCGGGGATTGACGCCGTAAGCCCTGCGGGGTCCTGGACCCGGCTCTGCAGAGGGCTGAGCTGAGACCTGGCAACTCATTTCCTCAAGTGCTCCGTGCTGCCAGCTCACGCTAAGTCACCTCTTCGACAGATCTGGTTTTACACCAACACCATCTTTGAGAACGCCGGGATCCCCGTGTCCCAGATCCCCTACACCACCGTGGGCACCGGCGCCATCGAAGTTGTTGCAGGACTTGTTGGGGTGAGTGACGGGTGGACAGACAGACAAAGCCCCTCAGTGCCAGGGCCCTGTCCCCCAGCACCATCAAATGGGGGGTACTGGTTTGACCCTAAATGCCATCTGTGCCACATCACAGCCCCTTTGCTGGGAGGTAGAGGGTTTGGTAGGGAAATGGGGTGGGGAGATGGGATGAGAGGGGCTCAATTTGTGGTGCCACCTCTAGGGGGAGTAGGAGAATTTTGGGGCAAGTGGGTAGCAGGATAGCTGGGGGGAGATGCCAGGCAAGGAGCAGGTTGGGGGTGAGGGAGGGGACTAAGGGGTTCCATCTGGCTCCCTATTTCATTGTCACTCAGTTATCAGAGCCACATGTCCCAGTCTGCTCCCCCCGCCCCCCTTTAGCCAGCTACCAGCCTGGCCCTGGGCTAGCAGCCCTGGCCCCCCCAGCCAGGCCTCATTTAGCTGGAGAGTTAGCACTGGGCCATGCAGATTTATGGCCCTTGTCCCATCTGCGAGTGTCACCTGGGGCCAGCCTGAGCCACCCAGCACTAAATCTGCTCCCTGACAATTAGAGAGATGGATGAGGGGTGGCTGCTCCCAGAAAACGGGCTGAGAAGGAGCTGCTCCCCTTTCCTCATAGCTTAGCCCACAGCAGAGTGGGGCTCCCCAGGTCCCCCCCCTGCCTCTCCAAACTATGCCCCCTTCTTCCTTTCCCCCCTGCCCAAGCCGTGGGGCTGCCCCAGCCCTGGGCAGCAGCCCAGCCTGCAGCTGGATTGCTCAGGAGCAGCCCCACAAACGGCCCCCTATGGACGTGCTGAGATTGGTTATAAAATTACAGGCATTTGTTCTGCTGTCAATACCCTTCCTGCTCCAGCCACCATCGTGCTGCCTGCCCAGACCCTGCCTCCCCTGCCCAGCAAATGCCCTGTGCCCAGCTCAGCACCTCTGCTCAGTGCCCATGTAAATGTGGCCGTGAGGCCACCCCTGAAAGCCCTGACCCTGCACCCTAAGAGGGCTTTGTGGGACCTCACTGCTGCCCAGAGCATGCTCACCCCAGGACCCCAGAGACCTGGCTGTTCCCATGACCCACCCCCAACCATGGAGCTCTGAGCTGGGGCTGTCCCTCCCCTTAGATGCCAACAGGAGCATCCCTCCACCTGCAGCTAGATCTGGGGTTCAGGGGGTGCCCCTGTGTCGGTGACAAGAATTCTTTCACTGTAATTACATCTTTAATTAGGATTTTAATGGCTCATTGTTCACAAACAAGGGTGAATAGGAGTTTTAAAACAAAAATATGTATCTATTCTGGGCGAGCTGTAAGGGCCAATCAGGGGCTACCCTCCTCCTTCACTTCTTAGCACTTTTTGTTTGTTTGTTTATCCTTGTCCTTGGAGCATCTTCTATAAGAAGGACCCCTGGGTCTCTGCTCTCCCTTGGCAGTGCTTCACCATTGAGAAGCTGGGCCGGCGGCCACTCATCATCACCGGCTTCTGTGCCATGGGCATCTGCTCTGCTGGCATCACTGCCTCCCTGCTGCTGCAGGTAGGGTCCCACCACTGCCACCACCTCTTGGGTCACTGACGTGGCTGGGGCTGGAGCCTTGGGCCCTGTAACGAGGGCTGGGTGATAAAGGGGTGAGTATCACCTCGGGAGAAGCAGTGTGCATGGAAATGAGAGGTGAACCAACTCTTTCCAAGTAATGTTTTCCCTTCAAACTTCAAGGGAAGGAAAATTCAGAGCAAAAAGCAACCAAAAAAGCCTAATCCAAGTAAGAAAATTTCTACCACTTCTGGCAAGTTTTCTGCAAAAATAGTTGTCCCCAAGGAGAAAATTGTGAATGGCCAGGGGAGGTGGAGGGGTCTGCTGAGTTCTTCCTCACCTGCCTGCTCCTGAGGGATGTTCCCACAGCTCTAGGGTTGTCTCAGTATCATAAGGCTGAATCTCACCAGCTTTGCTCCACGTGTCCTGTGCAGCCACTGTCCCCAAGGGCTACTGCTGAGCCCAGGGGAAGATGTGAAACCCCATCCCAGAGACACTGGGTGTGAAGGTCAGCTCTTTGTCCCCCTGCAGACCTCCCTGCCCTGGATGAGCTATGTCAGCGTCGCCTGCGTGGTTGGCATCATTGCTGGCTTCTGCATGGGACCAGGTGGGTCTGGAGCTGTCAGAAGCAGGAGGCAGTGGGATGGAAATGGGCACCTGGGAGTTGGGGAACAGCAGGGTTTGCAAGCAGGAGGCCGGACTGGTGCTCTGGCCCCTTTCCTGCAGCCAGATCCTGGTTTATTGTGCTGCACCCTTTGAGTGAGGCCCCGTCACAAGTCCCTCCAGCCCCACACATCCTCGTGGTGTGCTCCACCTCCTCCTCCTCATACCTGCTCCCCAGCCAAGTAGGGAGAAAGCCCTGGCAGCCTTTCCTAGACCTCTCTGGAGGTGTCTGGTGAGCATCATCCTGCCCTTGAGTCTGGGAAAGAGAGTGGGCTTGAACAGTGAGGAGTGAAACCTGGACTGGTTTACCCAGTTGATGTATTAGCAGAGCTGTTAACAGATCTATAATTCATCCTCAGCCCAGACCTTATTCACTGTAATTACATCTTTAATTAGGATTTTAATGGTTCATTGTTCACAAACAATGATGAATAGGAATTTAAAAGCAAATATCTATATCTATATACTGATAGATAGATCGATCGATCGATCGATCGATCTATTCTGGGCAAGCTGTGACTAAGAGTCCAACAGGAGCTACACTCCCCCAGCACCAACAGTTTGGCCCATGGGTGCTGCTGGGCTCTAGCCCTTTGGCCACAAGGCTGAGAAAGGCAGGACGTGTCAATGTGGGGGTTGTTCATGGCAGCCTGTCACCCACACCCTTGATCTGTCCCCTCTCTCTGCAGCTGGTGTCCCCTTCCTGATGACAGCTGAGCTCTTCACGCAGTCACACCGCCCGGCTGCCTACATCGTGGGAGGATCCCTCAACTGGCTCTGCAACTTCACCATTGGCTTCATCTTCCCCTTCTTGCAGGTAGTGGTCTGAAGGGGCCATGGGAGGAGGGAGGGATGGACACAGCCCTGTTGCTCCATCAGGACAGGGTGTCAAGCCAGACTTAACCCCAGGGATGTCCATGCTCCTGGCTTGGCTGGATTCTGGCCAGAGCCTGCCCAGGGAGGAGTAATGGGAGGGGACACTGCCTCAGGCTGTGCCCAACTTGGAGATGCCTGGATCTCTGTCCCTTCCCTGCTCTCTTATTGTCCCCAGATGTCAACTGGTGCCTTTTGCTATCTGGTTTTCTGTGGTGTCTGCCTGCTGGTGGCCCTGTATGTCTACTTCATCATCCCCGAAACCAAGAACAAAACCTTCATGGAGATCAGCCACATCTTTGCCACCCGACACTCCCTTCTCTCCATCCCAGCCCATCTCACTGGGATGATGAAGCTCGATGGCTACGGAGCCTTGGAGAGCAACTCCTTGGAGGGTTCAGGCTCCAGCCTGCCCTGATCTGGGTGGGCTGGGGGCAACAAGGATGATGAAGGAGGCTGGAGGCTGGGGAGTGTAGTGGGGGTCAATTTGCTCAGACTCAATCAGCTCTGCATCTCCCAGGACATCCCACCACCATGCAGCTGGCAGCCAGGGAGTTCACGTCACTCCTGATTATGTGAACATGCCAAGAGGTGCCTGTGTGAGGTGCTTAATAAAGATAATTGCCTCCAGAGCCATTATTTGGTAAGTGCAGCCCAGGACAGCAGTGACTCAGAGTGTGCTGACACAGGTGGGTGCTCCCCTGGTGCCAGGAAGCAGCAGGATGGGATGGGGGGCTCATTGCCCTCCCTGTTGTGCCTGGCTGGTCATTTTCTAGGAAGGGTGGCCAGGATGGCTCTTGGATTCTTGTCTCACCCCGGGTTGGTTATGCAGAGGCTGCTGCAGAAGGGACAAGGAGCAGCTCAGAGCTGGGGGTGACCTTCCAGCCTCTGTGCCCCATGCCCAGCCTGCTGGCAGCAGGTGGGGGCTGCCCGTTTTCTGGGACTGCTGTGGGCACAGCACTCGTGTGGTCCAGGAACCCCACAGCAGCTTCCACGAACACCTTGAAGCCAGAGGCTCCCAATTCAGCAGGCCTCAGGAAGCTGCTGTTTGCAGGTTAAGTACAGTATTTTCTCTGGTAAGAGCTAAAAAGTGGGTGGTGGCGAGAGCTGCATGGCCAGAACACTCTAGTGCCAACACAGATATGATTTATTTAACTGCAAATGATTTTGCCCTTGTTTTTCCAGCTCCCCACCCTGTGATGGGCCCAGAGCCTGCATGTTTGGTGCCTGTGGTCCCTTGTTGGTGTGGCAGGCTCCAGCCCATGTGAGGAGCTCACCTTTTATGCATGACTTGGCAAAGCCTCAGGGTGCCTCGTGGGGTGAGTGGGCGCTGGGCCCACGAGGGGCTGGGACACTGCACTGGGCAACCCAGTATGGCCCATCCTCAGCAGCCAGCCTGGGGCTCTCCAGCATCTCAAGCTGTTTAAAGGACATCAGCCAAAGTGGGGGTCATGGCTCCACAGCATCAGCCACTTCCCACCCTGTCTCCCTCCCAGCCTGGCTGCTCTCGGCACAGAACAGAGCGGTAAATATGTGCAGCATTACATATGTATAATGGAGTGTAAATAACCCCAAAAAGTGCATTGTAAATAGACTCCAAGTTTATCCTTTATTAATGAGGCACTGAGTGCCCTGCTGTTTTAGAGCAGCGAGACTTTCATAATATCAAAACCTAAATTACACTTGTGTCTCTCATTCCCAGCAAACGACAGCATCATTTCAGGCCTCTTTGCCACTTGTATTTATTTATTCTGGTATTTATTTATCTCTCCCACCCAGCATGCAGGGCAGCTTGGAAGATGCCCTCTGCCAGGGAGGTAATGGCCCCCCTGGGAGCAGCTCCCCCCATCCTGGAGACCTGACATGGTTAAGGCCAGTGTTGCCTTATGGCCAAGGACTGCTTGGTGCTGGCTGGTGAGATTGGGTAGACCTGGGAAACATGGGGCTGGGATCCCTCTCTGTCCAGGGCTTCAGGCACCTCCAGAGCCAGACGTTCCATATTTCCAGGGTCTGGAGGTCACTCGCAAAATCCTATGGTGCATTTTGGAAATCCTCGTGAGGGTACCATGCCAAGGCACACATCCTTCCTCCTTCCATTAGGACCTGGGAAGGCAGGAGCAAGGAAACTGCATGTTCATTGGACCCAATTTCTTGTCAGCTTTTTCTTTAGGAAACTGAGGCAGGTTCTCTGTTTAAGGCTGTCAGTCCAAGCTGGCCTAGACACCCCAGGTATGGTAACCTTGCAAAAGAGGATTTGGGCTTCCCCTCTGCTTACCCTGCCCAGGAAAGAATTCCCAGCTACTCCGTGGCAGGCTTCTTGGGAAGGGAATGGTTGCGTGCACCCCAAGTTGCTCCCCTGTGTCCAAAGCAGCTCTTTGGATTCAGGCCTCCCAAATCACTGGTTTGGTTTGGTGAGGATAAGGCTGTATCCTCTAGCATGTCCAAACAGACCTTGAACAATGGGAGAAGGTCCAAAGAAGAGTAAGAAGAGTCCAAGAAATTAATGTTGATGCCTGAAACTACTCCTAATTCTCTTAAGGTCTGAAGAAATTAAGATGAAGGTGACTTCTTCCACGTGTAAGTACCTTCTTGTGATGTACCCAGTGCTCAAGGGTACACATCTTCAGTTAATGCATGGGAGGGCAAAAATAGGGGAAAAGGGTCCCCTCTTTTTGGAGACAGGGTTTGTCCTGTAGGAGCCCCTCTGCCCTCCATAATGTCCCTGGAGAGGGGTTACAGAGGCCCTGACTGCACTTTGGTGTTGGCAAAACTTAAGCCGATGAGCTGTTGTGCCCCCAAAATTAGGTTTTCCCCCCAAAATGAGAAGTTTTGGGCTGGAGCAAGAACATCTGGCTGGGAAGGGTGATGTCAGCCAGGAATAGAACCTTTTGGTGCCTTTCCCTTGTCTTTGCTTTGCACAGTGGGGGCAGAAGTCCTGCAGGAAGGAGACAATGATGTGGTGGGGGTGGTGTGCCCGTTCCAGGTGCCACAACCCTGTGTGCATCCTCACGCTGTGGTAAACCTGGCTCACTCCCAGCTGAAAGCCATCCTGCAGCAGGGGTCTCATCTCCTTGAAGTGCAGAGACAGCTCCATCTGAGCTTGCGGTTCATATGGACTCTGGTCAAGGGCCTTTTTGCAGGGAAAAACCTAAAATAGGTAATTTTTTTAATGTGCTCCAGATAACAGGCACTCAGCTGAAACCCAGCACTTCAGAGGAGTGAAGAACAGTGATTTATTTCTTTTAAAAGCCTAAATTATTCCCTCAGTGCCAACCACACCCCCTAAAACCTCTTAAAAACCAAATCAATAAATACATATAAAATGAACAATTTAAGGGTGTATTTGGAGGGGAAACGGGAATAGGTATTTGCTACCTTATAGAAAAAAAATAATTCTACCTGTATGTCAGCAGATCTATGGCTGGAGTCCTACAGGAACAAGTCTCTGCAGAGGGCACAGGGTGCCAGGGCTGATCCTGGAGTGGGTGCCCGGGGTCGAGGTGGCCGAGGTGAGGGTGCCCAGTGGAGGGTGCTGGCACCAGCAGATGGCACTCCCAGAATTTATTGCTACAGCAAGCTGCCTCTCAGAGAGCAGTCATGTAGGAGATGTCCTATTATATGGGCAGTTGACTTTAATAGTCATTGTGTGCTTAAAGCACAGCAAAACAACAGTGGGGGAAAAAAAAAAAAATTAAAAAAAATCCCCACTCCACTTGGATGGCCCTTTTCCCCCCAGCCCTGCTAGTCTATTTGTACAGTAAATTAAAAATATGAATCACTTCTCTCTACTGCCTCCCCAAACACTCATCCTGTCAGGCTCTGTGTTGTCTTCATTTGTATTACCTTAATTTAATGTTAATTATGTTCTTCATTTACAAAGAACAAGCATTTACACTCCCTGTCTGGGGATTTTCCACGCTCACGGTCTCCACAGACTGGGATGTGAAGGGGAGCAGTGGAGGCAGTGGCACTGGGAGGGGGCTGTTAGCAGGGCTGAGGGACAGGGGGGAGCAGGGATGCTCCTGTGGCACCCCCGGACGGGCTGGGGACAGTGAGCGCTGTTGCTTTTCGATTTATGAAACCTATGGCTGCCTGTGCTGAAATCCCCCCTAATAAATCCTTTTAAAAAGGTCCTTGGCCAATGGAGGGCAGTGATTTATGGTGGGGACCAGGGGTGGAGGGGTTTGATGCCAGGGGAAGCTGGGGACCTGGCTGGGGATGTCACAGGGCTGGGAGCACAGCCACCGCTGGGCAGTGCCAAGGAAACTTCCCAGACACCTTTTCCCTGACATCAGGTCATGCCAGACTTGTCAGGTGATTTGGTGATGGGATGACCTGTGGAGGAGGACTGCAAGTCTCTGCTCTGTGCCTCAGTTTCCCCATCAGCACCTGCACACAATTAACTCTCTCCCAGCCCTCCCCATCCCAGAAATTCCTGGCTGGGGTGACAGCCCCAGGCACTGGCTGAGGACCCAAACTTTTTGGGACACTAACAGAAATGTCTCTGTGTGTGTGTTTCCCCATGTGCACATACATAAAGTGCCCAGATCTCAAATAAAAAAAGCCACATACCTCTCACCAAACCTGATCCTCCTTGGAACAGAGCCTGTGTCTGGAATAACGAAGGCTGGAAAAGAAGAAGAAAAAAGAAGATCAATTAAGGAAACCACTAGAAGCCTTCCTGGGACTTGGGACTCTCGTGTCTCCCTTCACAGCCTGCCCTGGCCCATCCCCTAGGATGGGTGGAATGTGTTGGTAAAGGCCCATTTTCAAACCTCGTGCCTCCTCTTCTGCACTAAGCAGGGTTTGAGCCCTGCCCACAGCTGGCTGCTCCTTACCAGTGTCTGGTCCTTTGCCCCATGTCCAGCTGCAGGTCAGACACATCAGGGACTTCTCCCGGGGAAGCTGTATGTTGGATTTGAGCAAAGGAAGAAGAATTTTGGACCTTGTTTCTGGACAACCTCCCTGGTCTGTGTCAGAGCTCCTGGAGTCTAGTTTTCTATGTAAATCAGGGTTGTACCAGGACATGTTGGGAGCTGGGATGGGAGCAAGCAGTGCTGTCTGAACAACATCCACCCCAAAATCCTCCCAAACACCCAAAAACTGAGGACGGAAAAAAAAAAAAAAAAAAAAAGGCACTCAAATCTTCCTATTCTGAATGTTCACAGGCACCACCACAAAAGCACAGAAAACAGACCCACCCCAAAACCCCACAGTGCCACACACCCTAGGCTGCCCACACACCTTCTCATCACCACCACCTGTTTCCATGGCAACAGCCAAATATGATGAGGTGAGAACCTGACCCCTTTCCTCCTGAGCCAGCCCAAGGGCCTGGGGCAGGTCTCCTCGCTGGCTGCTCCTGGGAGGTGGGTCATAGGTTTGGCCCTCCGGACTTTGCCTGCCTCTCACTGTGGG